GAACTACGGCTTGCCCAAGGTCATCCAGCCAGGTGCAAGTGGAGGAGTGGGGAATCAAACCCGGTTCTTCCAGATTAGAGTCTGCACACTTAACCACTACACCAAACCACTACACCAAAAATATGAACAGCTCCAAGACTTAAGGGGCTGATCCCTGTATCCCTTGATATCACAGGAATGGGGAAAAGGGAACCACTGGCTATGTTTCTAACCACCTGCTAGATCTTGTACATATATAAGAATGATCTAAGGAAGCAGCTGTTTAGTATGCATAATACATTCATGCCTAATTTTGCAACAAACTGTTCACAGTGCAATTTAACTCTCTATTAAAAAAAATAAAACCTGTTTCGTCTTAATTTTTTTCCTAAGAAATGCTGTTTTTTTAAAGTCTTAATCAGTTAAGACATGTCAAGAAGTGTCAATAAAACAATTACTGGCATTTGCAACACTGGGGTACTGAGTCAAAGATTTCCAACAACTTATTTCTCAGCTTCGCAGAAACCTGGGCATTCATCAAACAGGAACATTTTGATGAGGGCATCACGGCCACACAGTGTACTGTATTGCACCAGTGATGAAACTGGGAGAAATAAGGGAAGTTGAACACTGCAAGATGCAACAGGTTCTTCACTTATACTCAGAATTAATGAGGCTTATGCCTCTGATAAGACATCACTAACCTTTTTTTTTTTATTGTAACAGCGATTAGCCAGCAATATAAAACCAGAAAAAATAAATTACAATGGCCAAAGACTAACCTTTTTAGGTTTAAAGGTCATTATAGAGAAAATACCAAAAAAATTAAAGACCTTCTAAAAGCAGATTATAAGTAAAGGTAAAGGTTCCCTTGCTCGAAAGCCAGTCGAATCCGACTCTAGGGTTGCGGTGCTCATCTCCGTTTCAAAGCCGAAGAGCCAGCGCTGTCCGAAGACGTTTCCGTGGTCATGTGGCCGGCATGACTAAACACCAAGGCGCACGGAACGCTGTTATAAGTAAAGCTTTCATATTTAAGATTCACCATTGAATACTCTTGACAAGTAGTCCCAAATCTTGGTGAGCCTATGTCATGGACAGCCCTGGGTTAACATGGGAAGAGGAATCCTCAGAGGAGGAGGAGGACCACCTGCCCCCAAGCCCTGTCTTGGCACATGCTTCCAGTGAGACTTGACTTTCCAATGCCTCCTCAAAGGGACCCTAGGCCTATACCACCATTGTCCCCTGAACCAACAGGGCCTTCTGGCCTAGAGGTCCCAGCATGGACCCTGTCCCCACGACCAGACCTAGCATCTCCTGAAGGATGCTAGGAGCAGAGGAGGCAAAGGGCTAGGGCTGAGGCATGGACCAGCAGCAGGAGGGTGCGCCTGGTGGCCCATGTCCTCCTCTCTGCTAAAGAAATGGTAGGAGAGACAAATAAGTCACCACCTCAGCTCGTGAAAAGAAGCCTAACATGTAGGAAAACTCCATATATAAGGCTACAGAAAGGCTGCAGCCAGTGTGGGATCAACTTGTCTGTGGCTCTGCTGATAATCCTACCATTACCTGACTTGTTTAAGATTCTGGAACCTTGCTACCTGACTTTGGACTATGACTCTAGACTATGCTACTGAACTCCGGACTCTGAGTTTGGACTATGTTCCATTTTGGGAGCTAGGGCTAGTCACATAAGCAGTTAAGATTTTGACACCTAGATGACTGTCAAAGTAATACATCAAGTCTTGCTCTGGAGGGGGGGCAATGGAAAGTCATCTGCTGTCTGACACCTCAGGTGCACCTTTCCAGATACTTGATCACCCCACTCTTAGTTTGCATACAATCCCCAAAATTGTAGGTACAAGAACCCATAGGATCCAGGGGAAACAGTTCATTAATCTGAGCCCTTTTGGAGGGAATGTTTGAATTAAGTGCCCCCCCCTCCAATCAAATAAGTACTTCTTCTTCCCTTGCATCTCCTGAAACAAGAACCCACAAAAGCGGGTCCTTCATCAGCATTATCTCTGCCAGTTCCATTAGCTTTCAGCCATGGAGCTCTTGACCAGTCTCACAAGGGAAACACAATGATTACAAAAGCCTTACAAATCAGGTGATCCAGAAACTGGATTTTAATTTTGTTTCTATGTTGTGTGTTTCCACTTATTCGCCAGTCTCTGTGTCCTTAGAAGAAACCTTTTCAAATTGGATCTTTACTTCAAGAGACTTTCTGTGCTAATCTTCCCTTTATGAACTGGCTGCTCATCTTACTCTATCAGGATTAGAAAGGGAGAGGTGGTTGTCTTGCAGAGACGAGGAACTCACTGGGCTGCCCTAAAACAAGGAAAGTACTTTTCATGTCACATAACGTGTTCCAGCAGTGGAGGTCCAGGACTGGCCTGGAGCAGTCCATCAGTGTCTACCAAACTGGTGGCAGTCTACCAATGTCCAGCTGTATTCAAGAGCTCTGTTTCCCATGCCTAAAGCCTCCTTCAACCATATAGGTCTACAGCTGATCCAGCACACCTTTACAGGTATTGCCCATGATGATGAGCTACCTGTAGCATGAAACACTCCATGTTTCCTTACTGACAAAGGGAGGAATCTGGAAAGGAAGGATAACTGTGGGGGGATGTTGTGGGCCAGCCAGAGCTGGATGTCCTGGATCAGTCAGAGCTCAGCAGTAGCAAGCAGCAGCAGGGACTTCTCAGGAGGAGAAAAGCTTCATGTAGCCAGCCCTGAGCCAGCAGAAGAAGAGTTGCAGGCTCATCAAGGCTCACAATCAGCAGCTGACACAGTCACCAGCACCCAGCCCTGATGCAGCAGGTGAGCCTCAGTTGGAGACTAGCCCACCAGGCTCATCTCCACCCTTCAAGTGCCAAAGACAGAGGCTCAGAAGTGCACATCTCATGGCTCATCGCCAGCTGCTGGCTGATGAAAGCTTGGAGTAGCCGCAGAGTTACTCCAATGCAGCTGGCTGCTAATGAGGTCTTGTTAGGAAGTGCCTACAAAAACCAGCTCTGGGAGCCTGTGTGTGGGAGCACCAACAAGTCATTTTGCTAGACTCAGCAGCCATAACTCTTGAACCTGCCTCACTTGTGTGACCCTGGACCGGCTCTTGGACTTTGACTTGTGAACCTATGGACTGCAAATGACCCTCAGCCTTCCTGACTATGCTATCTGGACAACTTCTCTGGTATTGAATCTCTGGCTTGTAACTATTTGGACTGAACTATTTGGACTCTGTTGTATGGCTCAGCTCATAATCTGCTCGCCTGTCTGACCTGCCTTACAGCAGGGGAGCAATCTGAGGGGTATTCTTGGCTAGGAACTACAGTGGGAGATTGAATATTTTTGCAGGTCTCTAGTTCCAATTGGCCTTCTCGCATATGTTAACCTACCCATCCACTCTGGTCATCTTCCAAGGCCCTGCTTTGGACCAGGCCAGTCAACATTCTGGCTGCAGTATTCTGTATCAACTGTTACTTCTGGACAGTCTTCCAACAGCAGCCCCACACAGAATGCATTGCAGTAATATAACCTAGCCCCTTCTGAGGAAAAACAGGGGACGGTCCATCACAGTACCTCCTGCATTATGGCCTTTTAGCATCACAGAAATAAAGGACACCATGTGAGCGTGTGCGTGTGCATATGCATGTATGTATTTACCTGAATGCCAAATGAGAGTAGCACTGCACGGACCTAATAAAGTGAGCAATGGTCCACAAAAGCTTATGCCACAATTCAGCTGTTGGCCTTAAGGGAGCCACAAGAGGCTTCCCCCCACCCCCTTTGACAATAAACCATATCGAGTGTCAAATCCTCACCAAGTACTATCTATCAAAATAATCTCTGAGTTTCCAAGAAAAAATAAGGGTTTAAAGCAGAGTGCAGCAACATGTGGTTCAGGAACCAAATAGACCTTTGTGAGCCCCCGAGGATGCTCACCTCTCCCCATTACCGTAGATGGTAGCAAAGCAGGGGGTAAGCTTAGGCTGTCACAAGAGCTCCAGAATTTGAATGACAACACCTAGAAGCGGTGGTGTGGCACACACATTATGCCTTCATCCTGCCTTGCCACTCTCGAGAGGACCATGGTGTATTTAGGTTAAGATGTCAAAACTGCAGCACCATATATGAAGCATAAACTCTTTCTATTTTATATTAATATTTTTGCAATCATTTGTGGTATTTTATAATTAATTTATTATAATATTTTAAGTATAAAGTCAATGTGATACAAAACAAATTGTAAATTACATTAAAAAATACAACACACGCCCCACGGGGCTATGAGTCAACATAGAAGCCTTGATGGTGACAAAGATACAAAGGAACTGTAAGACTATGAAGACCAATGTAATCTTGTTTCTGGTGCCTTCTTCAGGTCTTACAGAGACAGCTTTGAAGGCTTTTATAGGCCTTCAGAGCCCACTTATGGGTGGGGCCTGCCCATATAATGGCATATAAGGCCTATAAAAGTCTTCAGAGCTCACTCTGGGAGCTCAGTTGAGTCAGGCCGCCCACTCGACTGAGCTCCAAGACTCTCAGTTGAGCCAGCCCAACGCAGAGGTGGGCTCTGAAGACATTTAAATGCCTTTGGGTTGGGCCACAGGCTGGTAGTGGGCTCCAACGGCATTTAAATGCCTTCGAAGCTCACTTCCAAACCCACCCATGGAGGTTCGTGGGTGGGTTTGTGGAACGAACCAGCCCCCTGAACCAGTCTGGATTCATGCCGAACCGGGGTTCCCAGTATGCCCTCAACATTTTATGAAATGCATGCTTAGCTAACTAAGGGGAGTAGTTTGAAAATACACCTCATTTCTCACCATCAAAAATATCATCAATGTACTACTTAATATAAAACTGCAAGTAAAAGAGTAATGGAATTTTCAGACAGATCTTTTTAACACACACCCATTCCCCAAATTCAGTTTAAAGCAATGGTTTTGATGTCAACTTCTCTTATCTCTGTGGCTTATCAAAGAACAGTGACTCCGTAACATCTTGATTCTCTGAAGAAAGATTACCTGGGAAATGTGATTGATTGAGGACTCCATTCTCCGGAGCTGTGACGCTTGGATGTCCAGTAGTTGGAGCACATTGTTTGCCAGTGCATTGATCTGATAAGCAACACTGGCTAAAGATTGAGTGGTGTATGCTTTGGTCTCTTCTAATGCTTTCCTTTTGTCTGGAGCCTAAAGGAGGAAGGGGGACAGAGAGGAGGAAAGATTTGTTATTTCTTAAGTTCAGAGAGATGGAGGAAAAGCACACTCTTTAAACATTTAGATCACCCAGAAAGACCTTATTACTTGGTTACACAATCCGATACGGTGGAACTGGAAATTTCTATCACCCAAAGAGAAGACAGGCTAAAAAGCTGGAAGCATATGGTCTTATTTAAGAAACTCTGCCACTAGTTCAATAAATAAATTATAATTCACTGAAATAACACTTCTGTAACGGTCCCGTATCTTTTCTCTTGCCAGATAAACAATCCCAATACTCCTAGAGTGTATTTCATGACTTTCCCCACAATGTGGGGGTGTTCTCTCCTGTACAAGTAGCCCCCAAAAAACCAAACCCTTACAACTATGTATACTGGTTATTGCAATGGGAAGGACAGAGAGTAATTAAGCCAGAACAGAGAAAAAACTTAATTATGAGAACTATGAACATATGAAGCTGGGACCTTCTGCGTACAAAACAAGATGCTCTACCAATGAGCCATGGCTCCTGACTCTTATAAACTCTCCTTAGAGAAGTTGGGAAGGTAGATAAATTAAACTCTTCCACCCAAACATCCTACAGAAAAAGCAGCATCTGCATGGTTGTCCTCAAGCCAACATCCAGGAAGAAACTCTGCACTCTGTAATTCATATAAGGGCCATGGCTAACTTGGCAAGATTTGAAAGCCTCTGAGCTCCTGGAATTTTGGCATTGTTGGAGGAGGAAGAGATGGACTGAAGCCATACTTGAACCTGATGTGTATGCAATGTTCTAATCTAACAGTTAGATAAAATGTGCCACAGGGTCATGTGTGCTGCATTGATAATCATACTAGCCATAGTCAGCTTTAACTAACACAAGCCTGTTTTGAACCACGGTTTGAAGCTAACCAAGGTTTGATGCTGATTTGCAAACCCTGGTGAGAGGGAGAATGGTGTGGTGGTTAGAGTGTTGGGAGTAGGACCTGCAACATCCTAATTAAAATCCCCACATTGCCATAGAAATGTGCTGGCTAACCTTCCACTAGCCACACTCTCACATCCAAATCCACCTCACAGGGTCATTGCAAGGATGAAAGAGGCACATAAGCCATTCAGAGTTTTAGTAAAAACATACTAGACAGATAAGCAACAATGCAGGCATAATGCTGCACTCTGTTCGCTCTGAAAGGCAAAGACGGAATGATTCTTCAAGCAAGCACAAACTCAGTCGCCCAGCCAATGGAATTGTTACATATACACTCAGTCCTCCAGGACCACAATCTTGGCACACAGCTGACTGACACACACTGTAAGAGCAATCTTTTTGCCTTTTCGGGATTATTAGTACAGAAACAAGTAAACAATTCAGACACATTACTGCTCTGAAAGTAACGAAGGAAGTACATCAATTCCTTTTAGAGCACCACTTCATAGCTACCAAAGTGCTTCTGTCAAAGCAGGAAATATTACTATTGACAAATTGAAATGCACAAGCAGGAAGACTTGTTTTTCAGCTGCTTAAAAGGGAAAGAAAAAACCACACACACAGGTCTATGCAATCTTAAATCTGAGAAGTGAAGCAAGCTTATCAGGAAATGCAGTTCTCGGTTGGCCCTCAACCAAGCTTTGTATTTCCGGACTCCAGTTCATGCAAGCTTGCGCCTTCAACCGTGCATCATTAACTTGCTCATCTCCAGATCTTCTGTCTACTATTAAACACTGGCTTATTTTGGTCAATAGAGCAGAGAGGAAAGCAGACAAGGAAAGATTCTTCTGTTCACAGGGAAAGCAGAAGCAGCCAGGAAGACATGATTATAGGGCTGTGGCACTGTGCAACTGCTACAAACCATCTATTTCCACAGCTGTTCCTGACACCCTACACCAGGCTTTCCCACAAGATATTTATACTAACCTTAATCTATAATGCTACTTCAATAAAAACAGTATTTGTGCTGGCTGGAAAAATGCCAACCAGCAAGATAACTGAAGTGAAAGAGTTCTATAGACTCTGAACCTATCACGCTCTCAAAATTGTCACAGTTTTGCAACACAGCTATAGCAGTTTGGATGGAGTGCTCTCTCCTCCCCATCCCATTTTCAGCCTTCCAAGGCCCCTGTGAAGCCTGAATACCACATCTAAATGGAGACACCGATATCTCTATATAGATGCAGTAGTTATATCTCCAGGGGGAATGTATACTTCTCATTTACAACTCAGTCCCTAGTGGCACCTTTGTGTAACCTGAAACCGTACAAGCATGTCCTGCTTACAATCTAATTAAATGTCTGTAGAAACTAGCTTCCTACATTTTGGTACAAAGAGATCTCCTCAGATATGCCTTCAACCATCTTTATTCGTAAGCTTCAGAAAGAAGAACACTGTGTGACTCAAACAGCATTCACACATTTTAGAGCAGCAGTTGGTCCAAATAATGTCACTTCCATGTTTAGTTCTTCTATTTGGCTTTTAATTGAAGTGTTACTATTTTTGCCTGAGGCAAAATAAAGACCAGCAGTGTAGCCTAAACGGACTAGGCCCTGTGTTGCCTGAGCACCCAAGTAACCGATCACCTGGAGACACATTAAGAACCAAGAAGAAGAGAAGAGATTGGATTTATACTCCACCCTTCACTATCCAAAGGAGTCTCAGAGCGGCTTACAAACTCCTTTCCCTTCCCCTCCCCACAACAGACACCCTGTGAGGTGGATGGGGCTGAGAGAGCTCTGGCAGAAACTGCTCTTTTTCAAAGACAGCTGTGCCAGAGCTTGTGACTGACCCAAGGTCACATCAGCAGGTGCAAGTGGAGGAGTGGGGAATCAAACCCGGTTCTCCCAGATTGGAGTCCACACACTTAACCACTACACCAAACTTAACCACTACACCAAATGCATTTGAGGGCCAACACAGGTCCCAGAAACTTCTTGAGTCTGTGGGAACCTTTGGAATTCTGTCAATAGCGTGGTGGGCACAGCCCCAGAATAGCTGCAGCAGGAGGCAGAGCCAACCACAAAATGACTGCCATGGGAGGCGGAGCTCCACACACATACACACACACACACACACAGGAAGTCTAAGTGCAGGGGAGAAAAGCGGTGTGTTTGTCTCTCTCTCTGTGTGTGTATGAAAATGGGAGAATAAGAATAAAATCAACACTGTGGTGGCAGCACCAGGAAAAGTGCTGGTGGGTGCCACAGCACCCTCAGGCATCATGTTGGGGACCCCGGTGTACAAAATGCAGGCAATGTCAGAAGGGGGTTGAGTACTACTTTTTAACACCCCCACAACTGAACCAGACAGTGTTCAAAGAAGTCAGTAAAAGAAAGATCTTACTGTCACCTGGTATCCATAAAGCAGCAGCAATTGCTTTGGGAAGCAGGTTTTTAAAGAGATGGTAAAACCAAAACAGAACAGGGAAAACTCCATTCCAGTTTGGTATAGACACGGGAAGCAACATGGTAAAAAGCTCAAAAAAGGGCTTGGGAGAACAAAGAGAAAGGGTCTGGTCACAGATGGGTTCATTTTGAATGAGGACTACAATATTAAGAGAGGGCGAAGAAAGGAAAACACAGTATAGGACAGAATGTTAGGATTAAGACCATGAAGTTAATGTAGAAGAAGTAAGATTTAAGTAGAACGGACTATTTTTTCTTTAGCTGCCTAGCTAAGAATATATGTTTGAAACTGCAAGGTAGCAGGCCCACTCCAGTGACAAAGTCTCTCAGCTCCAGTGACAAGGTGTCTGGAACAAAGGAATAAACAGGCAAGTTTAGCTGACATGTGAGTTCAGCAGCAGGTTAAGGAAGCCAGGGCACTAGTCTCTCTCTCTTTTTTTTAAATTCAAATTTTTATTATTTTAACATACACAATAACAATGTATAACAGGGTGATTAAAGTCAAAACAATATAGTGCGAGAGGTATTTACATAACAACTGTGGAAACAACATAATGCATGGCCGAATTGTACCTTGAACAATGTCTTTAGCACAAGAATATCACTGATTTCAAAAATACAGTAGGTTTGTAAGGTGTTCGTTCTTTGGGATGATTTCACCTTCTGCAAGGTATTGGATTACTGGGAACCAAACTACCTGAAATTTTTTAGCATTGTCTTGTGTTTGATGATAAGTCATTTTTCCATAGATAAAGTGTTCCCATAGTTTATTTTGCCAGTCAGGTATGCTTGGAATGGCCTTTCCCTTCCACTTCTGTGCAATGGTTATTCTAGCTATTGCTAGTAGTGTCGAAATTAATATCTTTTGTGTTTTCCTTTCACAGGTATCTGGGGGTACATCTAACAGGACCGTCTCAGGCAGGACAGGTAAGTCGAATCCTATAATGATATTAATCTGTGCCAGAATTTGAGTCCAGAATGCTTGAATGTATGGGCAGGCCCACCAGCAATGTAGAAAGTCACCTATTTGGCCACAGCCTTTCCAGCAGTTTTTGTTAAATTGTGGGTTGATCTTGTTTAAACGTGCAGGTGTGAGATAGCATCGGTTTAGTGTTTTGAAAGAGTTGAGTTTAATATTGAAGATCCTAGAGGTCAAATTTGACGATGACCAGATATCTGTCCAGTGTTCTGGTTGAATTCTGTTCTGACAGTCCTTCGGGCACTAGTCTCTCCATGTCCCAAATAGGGTAAACAGACTTTCCACAAACAAATCCACATAAACAGGAAATTTATAAAAGGGGGATTCAAAAACAAAAACAAAAAAACAATTCTGAAGGTAGAATGCTAGCAGGGAGTTGTGGGCTATCCAGTGTATTACACTGAGCATAACATGTATGACTATCTGCTGGGGAACAGCTATCCAGAAGGCACCCACTAATCTGTGGAGTGACCCAAGGGGCAGTGCTTTCCTCAATGCTGTTCAACATCTATATGAGCCCCCTTGCCCAGACTGCCCGGAGACATGGACTGGGCTGTCACCAATATGCGGATGACACCCAGCTCTATCTGTTGCTGGACAGCCAGTCAGACTCTAG